ATTTCTAGAAATTTAGTAGATACAGCTGATGGTATCCGCAATAAATTATTTCCTATATGAAAAAGAGTTGATGTGCTGGTAACAAATTTATGAAAATATGGTTAAATTATTAATAATTTTTTATAGACACCATAGACCTTTGGACTGATGATTATAAAAAAATATCATATGTAACTCTAACAATTCATTTTATAAATGATTCCTGGAAACTAAATAAAATTGTATTGTTTACATGCAAATTTGAAGAGGAAAAAAAGACAGGGGAAAATATCAAAAAGGAAATTATTAGAAATTTCACCTTGTTAGGTATTGATTTCATTAAAAATATTTATAAAAATCCATGTATTCTTTGTATCAGGATACAGCAGGGCCTATTTATCGGAAATTCCAATTATTACCGACCAAGGAGCTAATATGATTAAAGCTTTTGAAAATCATAAGCGTTTAAATTGTGCTTCTCATCTATTAAATACAGTATTGAGAAATACTTTTGATAACAAAAATATTGAATCTTGTTCGGAGATAAATCAATGTTTTAATGACTGTAAAAGTCTAGTAACGTATATGAAACAGAGTGGGTATGTTAAATTAACTTTTTATTAAAATATATCATTACATTTTAGATTAGTTAATCGCCTCGATAAAACTCTCCACATGTGTTTTGAGACTAGGTGGAATAGTAGGTTGAATCGATCTTTAATCAATTTAATGACATATTGGAAATCCTCAATTCCAGAGGAGAGTCGATTAGACTTGAAAATATTGATTTTGAAATGATGAGGGATCTGATCAAGTTTCTGACGCCTTTTAAAATTGCGAGTGATGAACTTGAGTGATTTAAAACCTACTATTCACAAAGTTCTTTTATGTTATCATAAAATATTGAGTTTTTTTTAGATAATCCTAGCTTAACTATCAGCTAAACCAGCTTTCATTAAGATGCCGTGAAATATTGGTGGATAAATTTTAAATAGATTTATTCCACCAAATTTCGACGTTTTTGTGCCCAAAATTTCGGGATATGAAAATGTTATCCCGGGAACATTATAAAGATTTGTGTCAACATATCAACACGTTGATTAATGCAGAGAAAATCAACAGAGATGTGATTGAGCAAAAGTCTTTAAACAACTCACCATCTAACTCGTGCTCAACCGATAGAGTAGTAAATAAAGGTTTATTAAATTAATAATAAAATTATTTATTAAAAAATAATAAAGTAAATATATATCTTAATATTAATAATGAATATTTTTTTCTTAAGAAACTACAGAGGTGGTAGATACGTTTTTGAACTTCTCTCTATGGGAGGCTGACAATGCGTATTCTGATGCTAGCGCCGAAGTTGACGAGCTAAAAAACCTAGATCCGAAATTATGTATTGATGACGATAATATTTTAAAATGGTGGAAAACAAACCATTATGAGTTTCCAAATTTAAGTATTTTAGCTCTTAAATTCCTGGCTATCCCTGCTTCGTCGGCTAGCAGTGAAAGGGCGTTTTCAGCACTGGTAGGGCCTTTGAGGAGAGAAGGACTCGTTTAAAGCCAGATAAACTGGACGCCTCTTTATTTATATATCATAATTATATAATTATTCACTTTGTGATAATTTTGATAATGATATTGATGAGGTCAATATAATATAATATGTTCATTATATTTTTTATATATTTATTAACTTTTATATCATATCTATATTCGCATAAATGATTTATTGTATTATATAATCGTTATAATTTTTAAATTCGCTTGTATATTAATCGTTTTATAATATTTTTTACAAATTTAATAAAATGCAACTTAATATATATCTTGAATAGATTATGGCCGTCAAATAAACTTTTATTTAAGGTGGCTGAACTGAATAAATACACATAAAATTTTTTTTGGTTATTATAATATTAAAACTTAAATTGCAAAATTTTATTCGGGTCGGGCTCGGGTCGGGTTGGACTAAAAAATGTGTGCTCGGGCTCGGGTCGGGCTCGGACAAAAAAATTTTTTAAATTCGGGCTCGGGTTGCGAAAAAATTACTTTGCAGTTCTCTAATCCCACTTATCAAAAGTTATTGAAAAATATGAAACTCACTAAGGCTGTGTTAGATTGCAACCGATGGCATTTAACCCATGATGTTAGAAAGGCTGATTTTATTCCAACCCAATATCGAAGATTTCTTTTCAGAGCAATCTGATGTATTATTGACTGAAGATTGGAAAGAGATAATAATGATTGTTGAAATTTTAAAACCACTAAAAATCGCAATCAAACGATTCCAATCTGAACAGTTAACACTGACAGAATGGTTAAGATACTGCATTGAACTAGAAAAAAATTCAACACTCAATTAGTATATTCTTGTCGAACAGGAAGAAAGGTTCATAAAGAATAAAATTCTCTTAGTTGCCATATACATGGACCCAAGATACAAGGTTAAAGGTTTCTTTTTTTTATATTAAAATGTTTCAAATATACATATTTATAATTTGAATAAAATTTCGATTTAAAAACGTATACAATTACAATAAAAGGTATAAGCAATATAAAAATATTTAAAAAAGGGTAATAAAATACTATAATGTATTTTTTTTAAAAGAAAAGGAACATGAGGAAGTGCATCTAGGTTATGGCACCATGGATTACTGTGCGACCTGCAAATTTCCATTGAGATTCGTTGGCTTAGGTAAAAACCTTCCTGAGGGTCACCCGAAATTAAGCGCATCTTTTGGCCAAGTGCCTTGAAAAATCCAATACTCTAGGTCCAAAAACACCGATTGTGTGTCCGAAACAATCGGGGTTTGAGTAATATTGGGAATGGTAATGTATTTATTGATCTTTCTAATTTCCGCTCTAACTAAGGAATTAGAGCAGAAGGATGGAGCAAAGCGATCAACGCATGTATAATCCCAGGCTAGCGGGATTCCTCTGCTCCATGGGATAAGAGTCATTCCGTCAGGTTTGATATTGTCTCCGAGATTAAGACCTACAGGTTCCAAAGTTGATGGAATATTAGATGAATGGAGAGTTCTAGCAATAATTAAATTTATTGCTTGGTGGCCACCTTTAGAGAAATGGCAGTGAAGAGGGTGATGACCTAGACTGTTGATAGGGAGCTGAAACTTAGTAATTAATTATTTTGGATTTATATTAAAATGGTTATTTTATGGAATTGCCATTTATTTAAATATAAATCCAATATTACAGGTCCTACTTAGTGATGATAAGATTTGTGCGAAAAGGCATCTTGACAATTTATGGAGTCGGATTAAAAGCATAACAACCGAATTTAACTGATCATATTAGTTCCGATGAAGTTAAGATGATCTAGAGATACAACTAAAAGAAAGTCAGGAAAAAATACTTAAAAGAGGGCCAACGATTGCAGAGAAAAGTATTGGAATTATAATTACCGATAGCGATTTTAAAAGATTAGATAAGAAGATATTTTGCATTTTTGAGAGTGTGCTAAGCCGGAGCACCCTGATTTATATATTTTATCCAAAATCTTATAAGCTGTTCCTGCAACCCAAGTTAATTTATTATATTTTCACATAAATAAATTTAATATAGGTTAGTGTTGAAATATCATTTTCACATTTGAAATTTATTCTTTCACCACATAGATTGCGGATGAGTGAATAACTCTTGGAAGATATTCTCAAATATGTCTAAATAAAATTTTAAAATTGATACATGACTATGCTTTGTTCTTATAACTATATTTGTCTATAAATAAATAAAAAATTTATACAAAATTTATGTCTAGTTTTTTAATTATGATTTAAATATAGAAATTTTTTTTATCAATTAAATTCTTAAACTCGAGCTGAACCCAGAACCAAACCCAAAAAATTTTGCCGGGCTCGCATACCTGGTCCAGACGCCTAGGTATTAGAGACCCTAGAATGATAATTTCATCTTTAGTCAGTGGGAAGTAGTATAACCTAAATGGCAGATATTGAGGTAGAGGTCACGGTCACTATTTTTAATATCATAAATCATTTTATTTATAGCTAAGCAGAATAGGGGTAGACTTAAAGGATCGCCCTGCCGGAGCTCCTGATCCTTTTTTTTAAAGTGGAGTTAGTTGACGCCATATAATTGTATGCATAAACTGGTTATTTATCTATAAAGCTTTCAATTAATGTCTGGCAATTCAATGTGTCAATAACGTTAGTTATTTAAAGCTAGATGAATAGAATTAGATAGCAGGTTCTCCAGGGTAATTGTTTGGATTTAACAACCACCATTGATTCCGAAACAATTGGTTTGGGTTAGAACATCTGATAAAGTATTTTTGATATGTTTGCATATGATTTTGACTCCTTGTAAACCCCTCCCCCTCCCCCTCCCCCAATGACATTGTTTGATTGGGCTTTCGATTAGAAACAGATTTTTAGGTTATTTTATAATATTAATTAATAATTATAAATATTTTTCTTAATTTCAGCGAAACTAGATAGAGGCTAAGGCCTGAATGCAGTCAACGGCTAGTACAAATTTGATATTGGGTTAGGATTCATTAGATGTCAAAAGCCGAAAAAACATTTTAAAAAATGTTTTGGAACATAAATAGATGAAAAAAAACATGTTTAACAAAATACATCAAAATTTTTTTTAAATTTTATGAAAAAAACAGCAATAAAAACCTATTCTTAAAAATAAATAAATATAAAAAGTAAAATAAAAAAAAATATGCACAAAAACCAAATCCAATAATAGTTAAATAAACACGAAAAAATTTTGAATAAAATACTGAACATATTTCAAATGAGAATTGAACAATTTTTATTTTTTTTACCTCCCAATTTTTTATAAATCTGCCCAAAACATAAATTTTTGCCAATAAAAATAGTGATCTTTTAAGAGTCTTTATTAAACTGAGTGCTTTATTAAAGTTACCATGATTTTAGTCCATTTTATATTTAATATTATTCAAAGCCTGTAATAAGCAAATAAATATTAATACAAATTACCCCCCTCTCCTCCTTCGAATCAGGATAATTTAAATGTTTATGTTTATTATTTTTCTTTTAAATAAATTATAATTCAATATAAAATTTGACGGATGAAATATTATAACAAATATAATTTTATAATTAAATTTAATATTTTAAAAAATTTAATACTTTACTTTATAAACAATAAAATATCTAATAATAGACGGTCTATATAAAATATTGCATTGAATTACATTGATTTAAATAATTTATATTAACATTTCATTTATGGGAAAAAATAATTTAATATGAATCTTCATGTTTGACGTTGACAATACCATGAACGAGGCACGAAAAAATCGGCAAATTTTGATTCCTAAATAAAGTGTAATGCATATCTGAATAACTATCAGAAATTAAATTCCAAAGATGTGATGGATATTGGATCCAGTACCGGATCTAAAGATTGATGCCCGATCGGTTCTATGAATCTTAACCAAGTTTATATATTTCCCGCAAATATTCTCCAGGATTTTTAATCTCATAATCGGGGTTATAGACAGTGCTGAAACTATTATTAGCGGCGAGGGTACGCTACTAGATATTACTCTAATATAGAGTTTGAGGGAAACAGGGTTACAATTAGTAAACTTTTGACAAAAAATCCATCATAAAAATAAAATAAACAATGTTTATAATATTTTTTGGTAAAATATTAGGATTAAAAGAATCAAATTTTTGGAAAGGGCATTCTAAATTTTTATTATATTAGCAATTGGCAAGGACAACGCGTGCCCCCTCGACTACAGTCCTGGTTAGACAGCAATAGGCGATTGTAAAATTTTTATATAAGATCCGGTAGAGGACTCAGCCCGGTACTTCAAAAAAACGGGCCCAAAATAAACTGACATAAAATCTGACACATCTATTAAATTGTAATAATAATTAATTTTCTCTAAAATTCATCGTCAGTTTTTTGCGCCCTAAAAGGGTTAAAAATTTATAATAAAAAATGTTAATTGGTAGACAAAACTATAGGGAGAAAAATAGTTATTAAGTTTAATAATTACATCCCATAAGATATCTTATATCTTAATTCTACAAATTTTGACTCCTGGCATTTAAGCATGGATCCAAAGCTGAACCCTTCAAAATTTTGTTATCCGAACCTGAACTGAACACCTATAAGGTCTGTAAATCGGTTTGAACCTTTTAATATCCTAACTGTTTTAAAGATTATTATTAATCAATTTGATTGATAAGTATTAGTTACCATTTTTAGATATTATTTTTATAGTATTTGATGATGTCAACTACCCAAATTAAAATATAGAAATGTTCTCAACTATAAAATTAATTTGTTCTCATTGTAGATATAATTTGACTGGAGAGAATCTTAGATATATTTGAATTATATGGCTTAATAATATTTTGGAAAATAATTTAATTATATATTATAATTAATTAGCATATAAATTTTTAAAAATTTCATCACTAAATAAAATTCCTACAAAACAACTAACGTTATTTTATTATTATAGCAAATACAACTAGAGGTCTGCAATACCTGAACCGAAATTGGCAATATTTTCTGGATAGAAGGGGTGGGAAAATTTTATTTTTCGGGTGAGTTTGGATTGGAATCTTTTTTATGTATCATGGTTTGATTGTATATTATTTTATTTCCTTTTATTTTGAATTATTTCTTATAACATACTAAAAAAAAGTTATGGCAAATTTTTTTCATATAATGATGTATGGGTCGGATTAGGTTGAGCATGGAATTAATTTTATGTATGGGTTGGGTTTGAAACATGCCTTTCTTCCTGCGGGTCGGATCGAAAAATTGGTATAAAGTCTCAGTACATACAAATATACCTAATTTTATATCCATAACAAATAAACTTATACATAATTTTAAGTTCAAACCGGTTTTTGAAAATATAAACTGAACGTATATTGTTCTTTTATCAGCCAAACCTGAACTGATATTCGTTATGATTCATATCTTTGAAAAGAAATACACATATTATTCCAACTCATCTCGATTTTTTACAAATTCCTTATAAAACGTAGTAAAACGAAACTCCGAATCCTTGCAATATGATTTGAGATAATTAATTATCCCAAATAAACTTACCATAATATACTATACTACCCAAAATAAAATAGTTAGACAAAAATTTTTTTTTGCTTTCAGGTCAAAGTTTTTAAATAAATGTTGTGAAAATATTACTTTAATTTAATATTTATATAAAATATAGATTTATAAAAATATAAAATTAATTAATATTGAATAAAAATTGTATAAAACAGAAAAATTTAAAGATTTATATTTATATTTTAATTTAAAAATTAATTAATTATGCAATACAAAGTTCGCCGTTTTATGAAAAACTTTATATAACCCTTTTAATTGACTGTGGTCTGACAACAGTCCCTTGGAATAATGGGTAATCTTCAATCTATTACACTTGTGTATCCATCATTCCTTGCTAAGATTAATTTCCTGTTAAAAAAATATATCTATAAATTTAAACAACTTATTTTTTTAAAATCTGAGGATTTTTTTTATATTAGACAAAAAATTCAAATAAAATTTTTTAGATATAATTATGATTCCTTTTTGGGAACACAATTAACCATTGTATAATGTTTTTAAATTTACATTTACTCAAGGAAAAATATAACGGTTAAATTATTTTCATTACTTCAAAAAAAAGTTAAGGGTTATACGTTACTGTTATTAAGAACATGTAATGGTTACAAAAGCTTTTCGTTAAATTAAAATTTTTTTAATCCTTTATTTTGCTGCAAGTCATTAAATAATAAAAGGCAGTATAAACTATAAACATACACTAGTTTATTTATATTTTTTATCGAAATTAATGGGGGTGTACCGATACCACTTTTTGGAAGCCGATCAGATCCGATATTAAATTGATATCGGCCGATACCGATTCGATATCATATCTAATTTTATATTCTGTAAAGAAACCAATGGTTTTAATTTTTAATATACTTTTTATTAGTATAACATCTATAATTTAACTATACCCTAACTTATGTCATTTAAATATATTATAATTATCAGTTATAGTTTATATTCAATTCAATTGCAATTCTAAAAGTATATAAAATGGCCCGCAAATGGGGGTATACTTTTATATAATAAGTAATAAAATTAATCTATATACATAATAAACAAATATATTATGAAATTTGAAATTAATATTTAACATAAATATATCGAAGATTTCTATTTAAAAACACCAAGAGGTCAGCCTGCGGCGATGGTAACTGTCAATATCACCAGCTTCACTAAAAACAGATTCGCACACTTTTATAAACAGAATGCGCAAAAAAATAACAATATGGCAAAATGTTTAATTAATTTTTATTATTATTAAAAAAATAAACATAAAAATGGGATTTCGATTTTTTAGATATAACTTTTTTTAAAAAATTTTATAATATTTTATTTTTGTTAAAAACGCCATTTTATATCTGATAGGATCGGAAAATTTTATAATATTGGCCGATAGCCGATATTTTAAAATTAGTGAAATATCGGCCCGATCCGATATAAAATATCGGTACATCCCTAGAAATTAATATAAAATGAAATATTATAATTTTAGCATTTGACAAAATAACAAATTTTTCAAATAGACCATATTTTTCTAGTAAACGAACGACGAGAGCGGAGGATGGTAAATTTGAAAAATAACTTTGATTATTGTGTAATTATGCAGAATAATTTCAAATGATGGATCCTGAAGATATAAAATTACTTTGATCTAGACATCATTTGAATTCTTTGTAGAGTCCAATTCCAACTTTGGGAAAAATCATTTTTAGAGGTTGCTGCATCTCGGAGACTGAACTTAGAAATAAGCACAGAAGATCTTATCTCTAGAGATATTGAGTTGCCATAATCTTGTTTTTTTATCGGAGGATAATAATCCCCGAATATTTTATAAAATGGAAGAGAAATTGTGTCTAGGAATGATTGGATAGCTTATAATAAGTCTATGTTAAATATTTTGACATATATTTTTTTTTCATAAATAATATTACAGTTTATGATATTAAATTCATCTCCTTCGGAAAAATTTTGTCAATCTATAAATAATTTTGTTTTCTAGAAAATATAATGAATTCATGTTCTAAATTTTTATCATTTTGGGTGTAAAATAAATGAATTTTAAAAATAAGAAAAAACAAACGTTAGGTTGCTAAAAAATATAGAGGTTACAGAGTTCTTCTTTACATTTTTAAATAAATAGAATTAAATTATGTAACGTAACGCTACCAATAACGTAACATTATTTGTAACTTTCTGTCCAACCCTGATGATGGCTATAAGTGCAGTCAATTCTAGTAATATAGATGCCAAAAAATTTAGATAATTTTTAATAGATTTGGGAATGAACTGGGGTGTATAGATACAATATCAACGATGAATCATAAATCGTTTTCAAAGAAAAGGGCTCAACGCGCTATAGCCTAATATAAACAAGATATAAAAATAAAACACTGTATATAAAAATTGAACATTCCTTTATATTATGTCATATTTATAAGGATTCATGTCGTCCAACTTTATTATAAACATGTGATATGATGTTCTAATATAATATGAAATATATTGATTGGAAATAAATTAGTGTATATTTTTAAATTCTTTATATTTTATTTACAGGGTCTTCGACCATGTTGGTAGGAGACATGAGCGTAATCAATGAAGGGTTCCCTTATAGCAAATTTGCCTGTTCTGGTAAATAACATTTTAAAAGCGAATAAAAAAATTTCCCCTACACAACCCCGACCCCCATATCCCCCCCCCCCCAAAAAAAAGTATAGAATATTTCACTTCACTAAAAAGAAGAATTGAAAGAAAAGTTGGTATAAGTTAATAACTTTTTAAAATCACAACTATAATTCAAAATTTTTAGAATAATTATAAAAAAAATAAGTGAAAACCCAAAATCATTTTTATAAAAATATAATATAGCCAAGGCCTACAATACGTGGACCTAAAATCCTCCAATAAAATATATGGCAGAATCGTCTAATGGTGCCCCCCCCCCAATATAAGAATCCTGGATACGAATATGGTAAGAGATGTATAGTAATTTTTACGTTAAAATAAGGAGGATTCTTTATATATGTTATAAATGTTAAATTGAAATAATCTTCCTAAAATATGTGTTTCAATTATCAAATCTTTGACTTGCAAGAATTTTTTTGTCAAACTATTTAAGTGGTTAGTATATAATATTCTGAAAAAATCCGGGGGAAACCTTATATAAGAAATTTATAAGATTTGATCTAAATATTAATATATTATGTGAATTACTAAATGTTTTCTACAATTCCTTCTGGCATACCATTCCATGCTATATAGGGTCATTAAAAGCCCGTTGCCCATAAACATCATAACCCAAAGTAATATGTTTGATGCTCGAAAACTTCGCTTATTTGAAATGAACATCGCCGCAACTATTATATAATTTATATATTGTTGTAATATGTAAATATACTTTGAATTAAAATCGAGAAAAAAGAAGTAATATTCAAATCGACTGTTAAACAGAAAAACGAAACGAATTATTATATTATTTGAGTAAAGACTACGTAAATGAATAGGATAGAAAAGTATATATAATCGAGGATATTTTACTTGTAAATTATTATTATTTTGCGAATTTAATTTTTAATCTTTTAATTTTTTTTATTTTAGTTATGATTATGTAATTACAATTTATATTAATTAATAAAGTGTTAGTAGTTAATTTATTTATACCATTTATTTGTATTCTCCTTAATTCTCAACTACAACATTTGTTACCGAAACATTATGTTTTATGGGCATATTCAGTCTAAATAACTTTCTTAATTTGACATATATCAATAATAATTTATGCGTTAATTTGTGAATTCTAAATAAAAGAAAAATAATCCCATCATAATAAGGTGTAAATCCTTTAATATAATCTTTATTAGAATGGTATCCTAATTTCAATTTGGGATAATTAATTTTAGAGTTTAAAATAAAAAAAGTTTAAATTATAAGATTTTAATAAACAAATTAATTTTCTGATTTATATAATTAGTTCTTATAATATATATATAGTCATTGAATGTTAGGGTGAACTATCTGGCAATAAAAAATTGAGATAAGACCAAATTTTGATGGATACTATAACTTTATGTACATAAAAAATACATCAATTATAGACAAAGTGCAAAGTTGTTAATTGAGGATTTTATGAAGAAATTTTTAAATAATTATTTATCAAGAGTCCGAACCGGACTTAAAAATTTAAAAATTACAAGCCAGGTTTAAATTTAGCCAAATTTTTTTATCCGTCGAGGTTTTAATATAATAAATTGAAATTGCATACGTCCAAAAATATAGAAATTTTACCATTGTGAGAGGATTTGGGCATTAAATAATTAAATACTAAAATCTGTGACATCTCGAAGTCAGGACGATTCAGGCCTATAAATCGGTATTTTTGCGCGGTTTATTTGATTAATGTTTAACTTATATTTATATAAGAGTCGTTCCATGTCATATCGATCAAGATTCGAGTGATTCCTTGGAATTTGGGTGAAATTTTGTATATAAACCTAAGGTATATCATGTAAGTGGAACATGGTCCAAATTTTAGCATCGTAACATTTAAATTTTTTGGGACATTAAGGGCGAAGTATGGAAAATGACTTATTTTTACATATATATATTGTCATCCAATCCGGCGAAAAGCTACCTAATTAAAAATAATGATTTTAATATTATAAAGTGTATATATTCTATTATTAAAAAATAATTTTATTTTCCTTAATATGGCGGTACATTTAACTCCATTTTAAAGTTTAAAATCTTTGTAAAATATAATGAGTTTCCCCGAATTTTATAAAAATTTTAGCAAAGTCTGTATAAAAAAAATTGTAATGTCAAGTTATTGGAAAAATTGATAAAAACATTAAAAAAACAAGAAATTTCTTTTATTTAGTATAGAATGTGAGCAATTAATTGTTCCAATATTATTTAATATGTTTTTATATATTTTTGAACACATATTTATACAATAGAATCTTTCAAATCAAAATACTATAATGTTTCATAAATTTTTAATCTACTTACTGTTGTTAAATGTCTCGATTTGAGCCGATTCTTATAAAGGCCTAAGGCCATTTCCAGACAGAACGTTTTTTCAAAGCGGTTTTGGGTAATGTTACCAACTTTCTAAATAAAACACCAACGAATTAATTTTTTTTAATATAATATAATTTTTTAAAATAACAATCCGGAGACACATTTGAAGAGGCCATTTAATCGTTATGAAAATCAAACCAGTTTGTTTTCTATTTACGATTAAAAAATCGGGATCCGAATTGTTTTTTTTTTAAAATATCATATTATATAAAAAAAATTAATTCGTTAGTTTTTTTGGAAAGCTGGTAAAATTAAACCGCTTTGAAAAAACGTTCTGTCTGGAAATGGCCTAACTCCATATTTTAGTCAGAAAAATATTGCCCCCACTCGAGATTTCGCGAATAGATGTCCAAATTAGTGATCTGCATCGGGTCTAATTTTTCAAGCCCGGCCCGGCCCTAAATTTTTTTTAAAAAAGTTTTGCCGGCCCGGCCCGAACCCGAATTTATTTAAATATAGAAATTAATTTTTATAATTACTCAAAATAAAAGACATATGTTATATGACGTTTAGTTTCAATAAATAAAATCAAATATTTTTATTTTACATAAAAAAATTCAATATAAAATTGATAAATTTAGATATATTTATTTAAAAAATATTTCCAAGGTCTGACCCGGTCCGAATTTTTTTAAAAATATTAGACCCGGCCCGGCCCGAATTCGATTATTTTAAATAGAATTAGGCCCGAATCCGACCCGCAAACTTTGCAGATCTTTAGTCCAAATCTTTGTACCATCTATGAACAAAATCTTCAGGCTTGCGTAATATTTTTTGGATAAAATATTTTAGTTAGCCGTTTTTATCGGCTCAAATCCCTTTTAACAACACTAAATTTAAGGATTTCTTCCTCAAAGATTCTATAACAATCTCCGAACCCGTCAATAAGGTTTTCCCTCAGCGCAGGCTTTAACATCGCTACACTGGCTACAGGCTAGATGTACCCCATCATATATTCAATTTTTAACGCTATCTGAGGTACGGCTCGGTCACTATCACCTTGATGATGTTCACTGGTTCGCTAATCTACAGTCTCGCCGACTTCAATTTTTTACGACTTCCAACTCTAAATATTGCAATCACAAGACTAAGACTAGGGCCACTATAATCCTGCATCCCAAAGTCGTCGCCAGATGAGATTTCTGACCAAGGCTGAACCATGACCGTAGCAGCCACGAGAAATGCGTTCATCAATTTCCATCCCTAATATAAGCTTTACAAGTTTATGCCATCGAGTCTGCCGACGCCATATTGATATTCATGAAATTCTTGAATTTTGTGGCAGCAGGAGATTCAGTCATGATAGTGTTGACCTCCACGGTATTAGAAGCGTTTGATAAATCTGGTGTGGGCGATGCTACGGTTTATGCTCAGGGTCTGTACTTTTCGCTGGTTCATAGATTGTTTTAGAATCCTTCATCCTTGAGAAAGAAAAACTACAAAAGTATATATTGCTAGATAATGGTAACTGAAAAATTTATAAAATATAATTTATTTCTGGGTAATATGAAATAATAAATGTAAATTACTGTTTTAAAATATTTTCTTATCAGGGTCATTCCATGTCAAATGAGCAAAAAATATGAGATTTTCGGTCGCCCACCTTCGATTTTTTTAAAATTTGGTAATCAAAGAAAGGTTAATGTAGTTTAGAAATAGCAAAAATTTTAGCCTTGTAGAATTTTTTGAAGATATTAGGGTTCAAAGTGGCAAAAATGACGTATTTTTACTATTATCTGCCTTCATTCAATTAAGCATATCTTAAAAACTACATAATTGTAAATAACAAATTTAATATCAAGATTCTACTTTCAGATAAAAACATATTTTTTATTTTTTTTCCAATTTTCGGTCATTTTATTTAATATGCAAGCTAGAAAAGATTTTTTGGAAATAATAACTTCAATTTTTTGTAAAAATTTATTATTAAACTCTTCCTTTATATTGATAAAAAAAATTGGTCTGGGACGCTCCATCTTCATTCTCAAAATCGATAAAAATGTTTAGAAAGGTGTATAAATATTTTCCCGAAAGGGGGCGTATTTGTATAAAATTATATATTAATCAGTTTTTAATGGTTTTTTTTGAACTATTTGATATAATTTAAAGATAGAAATTGTCTATCGATAAAAGAAATTCAATTTATTACTGTATTTATAATTTGTTATAAAATTTTTTGCCCATATAACATATATTTAATGAATATTAATAAAATATGTCCAACAAAGTTTCGAGTTCTTGAATATATGAAATCTTGTGCATTTCATATATGACGCCAAAAATAATATCAAAATTTTCGCTACTCAATTTTTATAATAATTTGATATTTGTAAAATATTAAAAATATTTATTCTTATTATGAAATTATTATATACAAAATAAAAGTATTATCATCATAAAATAACCCAAATCAATATAAATATTGGATCGGATTTTCTAAAATCGGCATACCCTTACTTGTAAATAAGAATAACAATAAATGAGTGTTTCAATCAATAAAATAAATTTATGGGCAAATGTGATAATTGACAAGGGTCAACACATTTACGCGATCAAATAGAAATATTGTTTCGTTCTAAGGACATCTAATTTATAACATACAAATATTGGCTATCCGTAGATAGAACCACTCTTGAACCAATAACTGAGCCAGTAGATAAATTTATCAATACCTTTTTTGAAAAAATGGAATCTTTATTACCCATTCTTTTATTTCAACGCAACAATCTTTGTACTGAAACAATCTAATGTTGAACTTATACGAAGGCCAATATTTAATTTTATGTGATTTTTCAGAAAACTATAACATTATACTTCAGGATGAAGTACAATTATCATTGGAATAGGGCTCAATCTTCTGTTTACCTACCCTTTTGTTATTTATTATAAAGATAGCCAATATTTGTTGCTTAATTATGTAATGATATCCGAATCATTGCAACACAATACAATAGCAGTACATTATTTCCAAAAAACATTGGTAAATTTTTTAATTAATAAAATTTGCATGTCAAATAAAAATTTTTATTTTTCCGGATGGATCCGCTGCACAGTATAAAAATCGTAAAAAATTTACATATTTACCATGATGAGATGGATTTCGGGGTACAGGCGGATTGACATTTTTCTGCTACAGCACACGGGAAAAGTGTTTGTGATGGGATTGGTGGCACTATTAAAAGATTAGCCTCTAGAGCTAGTTTACAAAGGCCTTACTCAAAGCAAATAAACACATCATATGAATTGTACGAGTTAAAGAAAATATTTATGGCATATA